CCATACATGTAAGTACCCGCGAAAACTTAAGAAAATATATATATATATATATATATATATATATATATATATATATATATATATACACACACACACACACACACACACACACACATATATATATGATTATCAAATATAACAATAACAATAATAATAACACTGGTAATAAACTATATTGGTAGTAATATTATAATAATAATAAAATATTATTATTGAGATACGACTCATATTATAGAAACAATAGGCTGCCCCAAATTTAAATCTGAAACCACTGTAAAAGTCTGACCCACAGACGGACACAATACAGAAGCCTGATGATGGCAGATGAGATTCTGCTGAAACGTTGCTACAACTTTAAAAGAACTACAATGACGTGGGAAAATACCCGAACCAAGCCGAACACCATACATGTAAGTACCCGCGAAAACTTAAGAAAACATATATATATATATATATATATATACACACACACACACACACACACACACACACATATATATATGATTATCAAATATAACAATAACAATAATAATAACACTGGTAATAAACTATATTGGTAGTAATATTATAATAATAATAAAATATTATTATTGAGATACGACTCATATTATAGAAACAACAACAACAAAAAAGGAAAGGAGATTCTATTATCAGGGCACCTGGTCCATTCTTGGATCAGGCCCCTGGGCATGCCAACTGCCTATACAGTATTGCATTGAATAATGGGCATACTGTAAATTTTCAATCGAAATGGCAGGTGGTAGTAGCTCTCAGACCTCAACCTCAAAGGTCAAGTCTAAATCTCAGCACAAATCTAAACAGAAAAAAGGGAGTTCTAAAGCTTCAGAAAAAGATGTCAACAGGCTCCACAAGGCATTGGAAAAACAAATAGATAAGTGCACATGGGAGTCACATAGGACCTCTCAATTTTCTTCGCCGTCCAGTCCAGGACCATCTACTTCCTCCCTCCCTCCTCCCCTAGATCTTTCCCTATCATCCAAGTGCAGCTTGGCTCCCCAGAGTCAACATGCCCAGTTAACTGGAACACGGACCATGCGAACGGCCCCTGAAGCTACGTTCACACCAACGGCTGCTGGCCTTCATCAGGACGACATTCTTCCAGATGAAGTTCCAGAGAGGATGAAGGTGTGGATGGAGCTGGCTATACACCAGGGAATCGCAGCAGGACTGCAACACACAGTTCTGACCAGGGAACATCCTGTATCCACTGATTATGATTCAGAATCATTATGGTCGTTGGCCAGGTTGGAGCAACACTATACCCAGGTACAGTTTCATGGGGACATGCTCCTCCAGGGGCCGCAGGAGGAGGAGGAGGTGGAAGAGGTGGAACAAATTGATCAAATGGAACATATTGAATCAGGGTCTGTACATGACAGTGACCAGGCCCTGTCAGAGGCGGACCCCTTAGAAAGGGGTATGTCTGAGGATGAGGGCCTTGTTCCCGATCAACCTGCATTTACAGGCTTATTCCACCCACAATTGTTTAAATCACTGTTCAAGGCCAAAAACACAGCGCGCCTGGAAAAGTCAGCTCCTTCTACCACACCAACTCCTTCACAAGAGGAGTCAGAGGATCTAATTTTCAACCAACCGGTAGTCGAGGCAAATGTGATTCCAGTTCCTAACATGTTTTCGGACTTGGTGCAGAAGCAGTGGGCGTCTGCAGCAGTGTATCCTGCCCCCACTGGATATGATAGAAAATATTTCAATTTGGCCCCTGATTTCTCTAAATTGTTGAATACTCCTGAGGTAGACGAACCAATAGTGGGATTAGTGTCCTCGTCCTCCATTCCCAGTGAAGCGCTGGAGGCATTAAAGCCAGAGGAAAAGCGGGCCGAGTTGGCAGGGCCCATCAGTCTGATGCATGGGCCATAAGAGCAGCCACGTCCGCATTCTTCTTTACTCGATCCTCTTTTAGATGGCTCCATCACCTAAGGGAGCACATTCCTAATTCCAACATTAGAGCGCATCAGGACATTGCCAAACTTATCGCAGCTGCAGAATTCTCTGCTGACGCAACATTCCATGCGGTTAAGTTTTCATCTAAGGCCATTACATCCCATGTTACAGTGCGATGCTTGCTATGGTTAAACATTGGCAAGCTGACATTAAGCATAAGTGCAAGCTTGCCTCATCTCCCATTGCGGGAGACAGATTTTTTGGCTCTGCTCTTGATCTGCTGCTCATTGAGACCAGAAGCAAAAAGAAGATACTCCCTTCTCTTTTTCGGAAGTCAGGTTCTAGAAGCACTCAGTCCTTTTGGAGGGGGTTCTTTCGTCCCTTCTATCAAGGACCATATTCAGCTAGATATCAGAGATCCTCAACATTCAGACCAGGACAACAGTCAGAGAGGTCCGACTTTGGAGACAGAAACAGAAGGGGTGGCCAATCCAAGAGACCCTTTCGAGGGGCAGGAAAGAGGTCATTCTGGCACCCAAAATAACTCCATTGACTCGGCTCCCATTGGCGGACACCTTAAATTATTTGCGGACCAATGGGATTCTTCAATGTCTGTTTCCTGGGTCAGAGACACGATCAGATTTGGCCTAGCTCTAGAGTTCCAATCCACCCCACCCCCCCAGACTTCTTCATGTCATGCCCTCTTTCCAGAGATCCAGTTAAACAGAATCTTATGGAAACAGCTATCCAACATCTACTGGAAATATGAGCCATTCAACCAGTAGCTACCAACCAACGAGGGCGAGGTTTCTACTCACATCTTTTTGTTGTTCCGAAGAGTTGGGGGGGGGGGGGGGTTTGGAGAGCAATTTTAGACTTGAAATGCTTTAACCATTTCTTGGTATATCGCAATTTTAAAATGAACACCCTGCAATCTATCTTACTTGGATTTGACGGAGGCGTATTTACATAAATTTTCAGAAAAGTCATCTGATACCTACCACTTGACTGCTCCATTTAGGAGCAGTGATAGACACCAGGCTGTATGAGGTCTATCTTTCTCAGGAGCGACAGGACGGTATCAAGTCCTTGGTCACTCAAATCGGTGACCAATCGGCAGTTCTATCTCAACTCCTGGAAAAGATGGTCTCATGCATAGCCATTGTCCCATGGGCCCGATCGCACCTAAGAACTCTGCAATGGTTCCTCTTACCATTCCAGAGGAGAGGGAGCAGCAATTCCAGTGTCAAGGTCAGGGTTCCATTAGAGACGCTCAGGTCCCTCAGGTGGTGGGTGTCCCCAGCAATAGCCATGGGACACTATTCAAGGAGCCCACCCATCTGACCTTGACCTCAGATGCCAGCCTCTTTGGATGGGGGGGCATCTCCAATAGCAGCTGGCTCAAGAACAGTGGTCTCAGACAGACCTGAAGAACAATATCAACTGGCTGGAGCTCCGAGCCATCCACCTCGCCCTTCATCACTTTGAAGCCACGGTAGAGGGACAACACCTATTGATCTTGACAGACAATGTGGCTGCAAAAGCACATATCAACTGCCAGGGGGGCACCCATTCAAGGTCTCTCATGTGCAAGGCGGACCACCTATTTCTCTGGGCAGAGACTCACCTGAGTTCCATCAAGGTGGAACACATCTCAGGGTTAGCAAACATGCAGGCAGACTTTCTCAGCCGGAGCACGGTGGACCACTCTGAGTGGCGACTGCACTCGGACATCTTCCAGAAATTGTGCCAGAGGTTTGGCCATCCAGTCCTAGACTTATTTGCAACCCTGACAAACTCACAACTGCCCAGATACTTCACGAGGTTTCCAAGTCCAGGAGCAGAGGGAGTCAACACCCTTCGCTGTCCTTTGCCCAGGGGTCTGTTGTATGCCTTCCCTCCTCTCCCCATCATATCCAGAGTAATCCGGAAGCTTCTTGTGGAGCAGGCAGAGCTCTTGCTGATTGCACCCCATTGACCCAGATGGCCATGGTTTGCAGACCTCATCAGTCTCTCTGTCTCCCAGCCTTGGAGAATCCCTCGAGACAGGATGTCTCTCAGCCAGGGGGTCTTAGTCTATCCAGAGCCTCAGTGGCTCCAACTGACTGCCTGGTACTTGAGAGGTGGCTCCTGATGAGGGACAACTTTTCAAGAAGGGTGATACAGATGATTCAGGCTTCAAGGAAGCCTTCCACCAACAGAATTTACAATTCGATTCATCTCCATTTTTTTCTCAGTTTCTTCTGTTTTATCTTCTATTTTCTGAATTTTCTGTTCATGTTTTGTTGTTATTTGCTGAAAATTTCCCATTCTCTCATCCATATTTTGGATCTGTTCCTTCATCTCTCCCACGTCTCCTTTCACCTCATTGTGATTTTTTCCTTGCTTCCTCTTTCTGCGAGGTAATAGTTTCTTGAATGGACTGCAATGCCAATTGTATTTGTTTTTGATAATTATTCATTTTTCCTGTTGTAACATTGTATCTATTGATCTTTGGTTTGATGTGCTGGATGCTGCAGATGACAGTGTGGAAGATATTTTCTTTCTAGTTTTAGTTACATTTTGAAGACTCATTTCCCCCCACCCACTACAGTCTGCTTTTCCGTCTGTACTCTTGTTGTAAAAATCTAATATTATAAATCCATATACAAATCACACAATATAATATGTTCCTTCAATACCTAATTACAAATTTCTTTCTGAATTTCAGTGTTATCAAAAATCCAATATTAAAACTAATGTGGAGTTCATTCTTAATCTCTGGAATTTGAAATTTATACCTAAAATAATATTAACCGTTAATATTGACAGTTTTCTGATTATCTTAACTTGTAAATAATACTATATAAGTATATGTCACTCAGATCTTAATTCATAAACAGTATGGCATCTATCCTGTTTTATGGATACTAAATCAGCTATGCCACAGATTTTGAGATAGTGCCAGGAGATGCTCAGAAACAAAATCATTTATTTCTCTCTTTTTGTCTTTATATACAGCTGGATTCCTTTATTTGAAGTTCAGACCTTCTTGAAAATCAACATTCCTGTTATCATGAAGTTGAGAGCTTCAACCAATTATTTTGTTGCATTTTTTTTATTTTTTTATCTGGCAGGTAAGATGCATTCTAAATTTTACCAATAATAGCTATTATTTTAACTTGTTTTAACATGGCTGGAATCATCCTTGTGATCTACTTTCAAGTAAATGCGCAAATAATGAAAAAGAAAGGCTATAATCCTGTATCACTATGTTTTGAATATTATCACATGAATGAATCCATTAGATTCAACAGCATTCAGCTTAATCTCCCTTACGGAATTGTTCAGATAAAGTTAGAGAAAGAGAATGAATTCAGCCTTGAAGGTTTAATTAGTTGAATATACTGTGTTTCCCTGAAAATATGACCTACCCCAAAAACAAGCCCTAGCCCGATTTTCATGCCTGCACCTAATATAACATCTACCCCCAAAATAAGCCCTAGTGAAGGGGATGGGAGAAGCCAGCACAGAAGGCAGCCCTTCCTTTCCCTGGACACCTCATGGAGGCTTGGCCTCTTATTCATGGTCCCATGGATCAGCTGAGCCAGCGAGGCCTGGGAGCTGCCTCTGGTTCTGTCTCTCCAGTGCCTGGAGGTGCTCCTGGTGCACTCTTGTCAGCCCTGTCTCTGCCCATGGCACCAGGCAACCTCGCAGCCAAGAGCTGCTCCCTTCTGCAGCTCACCTTGTGGCTCTAGAGCAGGCCGCAACCATGGTTTGCATTCCACCAGGCCTGGAGCTTGGGACTTACTCAGGCTGCTACTACAATGAGACAGAGGGCAATGTGGCACATTGGAATTGGCTCCCCTGCCTCTGCCCGGCTTCTGGGTCTGCTGCACCTGCTTCTGCTGGCCTCATGGAGGTTCTTTACCCTCCTGGCTGCACTGCTCAGCAACCTTGCTGGGCTGATCCTGCCTGGCATTGGGTAACTCAGCCCAGATCTACGACCTCCAGAGCACCTCCCCCACAGCTAGCTTGCCAGGGCCTCCTTTGCTAGCAGCCACACTGCCCTGTGCAAGCTACGTGGTGGCCCACAGGAGGGAGGGGGAATCACCCCTTTCACTCCAAAACCCTGTCTTCCCCGGCTGCAAAGCCCCCAGTCTGCACACCTCTCGCTGGAGCTAGTACAATGCTCTGCCACAGCTTCTGAGCAAACCTCTGCCTTCCCTGTACATGATTGCAAGGTTGGAGGCTCTGAAGCCACAGAGGGAGCATTTTTGGGATGTGCATCTGTGCAGAGCTCCCCAAGGAAAGGAAGATTGGCAGGAAACTTGCCCCCACAAATCACTTTCTGAAAGAGTTTTCCTCACCCTGCCCATTCTTTCTCCCTCTCCCACATCTCAAACCAAATCAAACAATGATGGGTGGGTGAGATTTTTCAGTGAGTACGGTGTTAAAAGTTAACATTTCAGAAATGTTACCTATGGAGGTCTCCCGTTGCCACAGCTTCAGAGCAAATTTCTGCCTTTCCTCTTCAGAATTGCAAGGCTGGAGGCTCTGAAGCCACAAAGGGAGCATTTTTGGGATGTGCCTCTGAGCAGGACTCCCCAAGGAAAGGAAGATTGTCAGAAAAATCCCCCCCCCCCCCCACACAGACCACTTTCTGAAAGAGTGTTCCTCACCCTGCCCACTTCTGATCTTTCTCCCTCTCCCGCATCTTAAGCAACATTGAACTGTGATGAATGAAGCTGCCCAACGAGAGCCTGCACTTCTGCCTGCCTGCCCCACCGTACTTACCTAAACCAGATACTCCCCACCTCTGCTCATCCGCCCGCCAGACCTGCAAAGACACACATCCAAAAAATGCTCCCTCCACATTTTATCCCAAGGAAAGGACAATCAGCAGGAAAATGGGAGGGGGGATTTTCCTGCTAAGCCTCCTTTTTGGGGGAGCTCTATTCGTGGCAAAATGGTGGTGGATTTGCTTGTGAGGTATTCCTAAAGCCTCAGCAGGAGGGGAGGGTCACTTGGGTAGTAGGCAGAGAAAGAGGAGTTAATAGGTGAGATGCTGATATGAGTCAAGCTTGACATTTCACCTTCCTATCTTTTGCAAACTTTTGGCTGCATACAAAGAAAGCAGATACAACAGAGACCCTGGCTTGCTTCTCTCCCCCAAACTCTGCCAGAAATGGTTCTGCATGAGGCTTGTCATGCCGGTGCAGCCACTCACATGCACAATAGTGCAACAAGCCTTGCGGCATCCTGCCGTGAGTGGCTGCACCAGTGCAACAAGCCTCGTGATGATCTTTGCACAATTTCAAAAATTGGAAACAAATAATTTGCCTGCAAGAAACACAAATAAAGTTCTAGATTGTCCAAAAATTGGGAAACTATATTTTACATCAGCACTAAAAAAAAAGAGGACTAGACTTATATATTAAAGAATCAATGGACTCAAAACAGGTCTACTCAGACAAAAAAGGAAGAATCTTGATGGTAGAAACAATGATCAAAAAAAGACGTTGATAATAGCGATATATGCACCAAACAACAAGCAATATTTTTTTACCAAGCATTACACAAGAAAATATTGGAAATAGAATATCAAAATATTTGTCTCATAGGAGACTTCAGTGCAATTGTGAATGGAAAACTATATTATAAAAGCACTAAAATAGGGGGGAAAGAAAGAAAGAGATTACCTAAGACGTTTTTCAAAATGATGGAAGAAATTTGTATACAGGATATTTCGAGAGAAATAAATCTGAAAAAGACTCAGTACACATTCTACTTGAACAGATAGAAATTATGGTCTAGAATTGATGTGATATATAGAACCAACATACTTGAGATGGAGATAGAACCTAGCATTTGGGCTGATCATAACCCAGTAAAATTGACTTGGAGAAGAGTAAAGAAGAATTTTAGGTGGACATTGAACCAATCCATATTAAAAGAGAAATAATTTACAGAACCTGCAGCAAAGGAAATGGATTTTTTCTTTAAAGAAAATAAAAGAGAAGATACTTCACTCCAGAATGCTAAAGCATCCTTCAGAGGATTAGCTATAACCTATATGGGTAAAAACAATAAAGAGAAAAAGCAATAGGGTATGATGTTAAAAGAACTCCAAAGAGACCCATTAAAAAAGCACTTAAAAGAAAATGGAGACAATTAAACACAAGTTGAACTTAATTGTCTCAGAAGAAATAGCCCAACAAATCAAAAGGGCAAATCCTTTTTTTTTTTTTTTTTTGAGAATACAAATAAATCAGGAAGATGGCTGGCATATAAACTGAAAAAAGAAAAAGAGAAAAAGGTGATAAATAAACTACAAGACAAGCAGGGACACACACAATTCCAAAATGAATGCTGCACAAAAGGAAAACAGTTGTAACAGAGACCCTGGCTTGTTTCCCTCTCCCAAACACCACCAGAAATGGATCTTGAAAAGCTGACAATGGCACAACAAGTCTTGCAGTGTCCTGCTGTGAGCGGTTGCACCAGTGCAGCAAACCTCACGAAGATCAATTTCTGGTGGAGTTTGAGGGAGAGAAACAAGCCAGGGTCTCTGCTGCATCTGCTTTTCTTTTGTATAGCCAAAAGTTTGCAAAAGGCAGGAAGGTGAAATACCAAGCTCAACCTATACCAACACCTCGCATATTAACACCACTTTCTCAGCCTACTACCCAAGCAATCTTCCCCTCCTACTGAGGCTTTAGGAATACCTCGCAATTTAATTCACCCACCATTTCACCACGAACCAATCCGCTCCCAACTGAGGGCAAAACTAAAGCAGGAAGAAGCTGCAGCTGTGGCTCCAACTACGCCTGTTTGTTCGTCTCAAGCATACTCAGCGAGTGCCAGAGCTGAAGCACTGTTTTCGGCTTCTCTTACACAGTGGCTGCCCTGAAGGGTAGGGCAAAAAAAAAAAAATTATGACATACCCCGAAAACAAGCTCTAGTGCTTATTTTAGAGCTAAAAAAAATAAAAAATAAGACCAGTCTTATTTTCAGGGAAACATGGTACTTAAGAATAAAATTCTTAACACATTAATTATTTGTAATCTATCCTTATATGATATATCCTTTCTCCCACTAGATAGGTTTATTTGGTTTTAGTTGAACATGCTCAGCATTTTGTTCTCCAGATAGAATTTGCAGGAACAAAATATGAACTTGGATACTACATCGCATATTGGAATTCATGAATTATTAAGTCTCAAGCCTTAACCAGCAGTTTTATAATTTTCATTAATTGTTTATCTATTTAAAAGTTTTAATTGACTTGATTTTTAAAAACAAGTCACTTAAGAAGCCTTCCTCTTCCTCTTGTTTCCTTTTTGTTCCATCTCCTGAACTATTCCTAGCAAGTTTTTAAAATAGTCAGGAGACTGCTTTTATTTTTATAAACAAAATGCAATTGCTTATTTTAAAAAACCCTTTACTCTTCTTTTATTAAAAATAGGCCTGAAATACTCAACTGCTATTGGAAGTAATGGTGAGTAATGTAGCACTTACAAATATCCACCTTTGCTGTTCTGTAGATTGATGCAAGCATAGTGTCAGGGTTCTAGCGATAGCCCTATTTAAATCATGAGCCTCGAGCCAAGCTTCAAAAATACTCAAAATATTTATTAGGAGCAACATGCCCTGGCATTAACTTAAATGAAGCCAACACTGGCATACATAATTCACAGTCACCTGTGACCCTGTTTCCCCTCTCCCCCTGGGTGTATCATAAATCAGATTCTCCAATGAAGCATGTTCACGGGCTGGATGTCATCAATCACGTTCTCCAATAAAGGATTTTTGCGCCAGAAGACGCAGTCGCCTAGCTACAATCTTTTTAAGATAATGGTGGAATGCACTTCTGGTTTTACTGCCATACTGCTCCTTCAGATTCCCCCCCACCTTGTTTATGGCAATTTGAAAACAGGCATAGGAACACACATAGATTTCCAAGGCATCTGAGATTCAAACTTTGACACATTTTTGCTTGTAGCGTTAAGTGTTATAAATGACAATGCTGATCATGCATCAAGCTAGGCCATAATATAGTTATTGATTTTGGCTTTGTATATTTTATGTTTGCAAGCCATGATTTATAGGTCAGAGAAATATCCAATCAATTATTCAACTATTATTAAGAAACTTGTCCTGTGAAACCAGACTTTAAGAATTTGTAACATTCTGACCCCAACATGAAATTAGCCAACATCAAAAAACAACCTAAGAAACAACAAACCACCAAATAAGATATCTGCTTAGGGATATTTCATATTTTTTTGAAGCATGTATTTGAGGCATTTACAGCTGAATCTTTGCCTCTAATGTCCATGGAAGCTTTGGCATTTAAATACAACTTTTAGAAAGGTGTGTGTGTGTGTGTGTATGTTTGTGTTTGATTATGTGTAGCAAGGAAGAATCAACATTCCATCTTCTCAAAGGTGTGATTTAGTCAGTATTAAATATTTTTGATGCCTACTGACTTTAGTTAAAAAAACACTAAATACATTTTAGATTTTTTTACCTGAAACATTTAACTTTCGCTCAACTAGATCTTTCAAGTTTAAGGAAGAAACACTCAAATGAATTATAAATACTCAAAATATGGATAAATATCTTTTGATACAGGAAGTAGTATTTAAGATGTGCCAAACTAGCAGAGTTGAATGTGCATTATTAATCATGTCACTACTGTCCTATTGCTGTCAAATCAAGAGTAAATTTTGATTAAATTTCCTTTATCAGTAAACAATTGGGTAAAATACACTACTGTAACATCTATTCTGATTAAAGTTACTGTTTAATATGCAGGATATTAAAGTTAATATATCAACTGTTGTCTGTCTGTATGTGTGTGTGTGTGTGAGAGAGAGAGAGACAGAGACAGAGACAGAGAGACAGAGAGACAGAAAGAGAGAGACAGAGACAGAGACAAGACAGAGACAGAGCATGCAATTATTTGCTTTTTGTTTTTCTCTTTTCACTGAATCCCAGATTTGTTTCAAATGTCTGGTACAACCCAGATCAAGTACTATTTGGTGCATTCCCCCCTGGCAATAAAATAATATTAAAGTGATTGCTCTGTAAAGTAATAATCTTTGGTATGTCTTATAGTAGCAGTTATTGACATTTTTAACTTAGTAGTAGCTGTTCATGGGTTGGGGGAACTCACTGAAAACATTGTAAAAATAATGTTGTTTTTTTTTCTGTTCCAATACTTAAAAGTTCGTGATACGATACATGGAATCACAGTTCACATACGAGGTAAGTTGAGGTCTTCTGTTTTCATGGTAAGATTGGCTAATTCAGTGAATGATTTTATATCTTAAAAAAAACTTTAAAAATGACTAATCTTGCTTTCAATTTAACAGGCAATAGTATATTCAATGGACAAAGTTTTGCAATTTAAACTGTGAACATAATATAATTACTGCGTGTGAGCTCCAATAATTCTTGAAGTAATTTACATGTAATAAAACAGCAGTTAAAACAAAATAGTTTTAACAATAAACAATTTTAAAAACAAAGGAAAAAACTAAAGCTATATGAATTGTTTGATATCAGACAACTAGGTTACTTACCTAAGTAATTTTTTTTAAAAAAATTATTGGTTTTTAAAAAAAACATAAACAAGAAAAACATAAAAACATCAAGCCATCTTCCATATATATACATACAGTGTGCCAGTTGGTTTACAAATTGTTTTGTGTTTCCATTTCGTAGTCTTCAATTACAATTACATTGTATATATTCCTGTATTTTCAATCAAGTATTAAATACATTAATATCATTATTAATCAATTATTTGACTATATTTTTATTCATTCATGTTTTATGAAATAATCATATTTTAATTAATTTATTTTATGACAGTTCATATTATCATCTCAAATCTATCCTAGAATCATTTTGTAGATATAATAAGAAAAGAATACATCTTTATATATTTATTATTTTCTCAGAATCTACATAATTCATTACTATGTTTTATTATCTAACCATTGATAGAATAGATCCCAAATTTTATAAAATTGTTTATCATCTTGTTCTCTGATTTCAAATGTCAATCTACTCATTTCAGCACATTCCAATATTTTCTTAATGATTTCCTCCTGTGATGGTATTTTCCCATTTATCCAATTTTTAGCGAATACAATCCTAGCCGCTGTTAATACATTTACAATCAGGTATTTCAGTTCTTTACTATATATTTCAGGTAAAATTCCCAATAAAAATATCTCTGGTTTCAAATCTATATGCTTTTTTGTCATTTTTTCCAACCACATGTGGATTTTAGTCCAATATTTTTTAGCATCCGCACAAGTCCACCACATGTGGTAATATGAGCCAGGTGTCTGATGACATTTCTAACATTTTTCAGATTTATTCTTGAACATTCTTGCTATTCTTGTCGGGGGGGGGGGGGAATGCCACCTGTAAAACATCTTATACAAATTTTCTTTATATGCTGTTGACATTGTCATTTTATAATTTTGAGACCACAATTTTTGCCATTTCTCTAGATCAATCCCATATCCAAAATTCTTCCCCCAAGCAATCATAGTTTCTTTAACTTGTTCTTCTTCTAGTTTAATTTCTAATAAGTATCCATACAATTTTTAATCACCTTTTCATCAGTACCTGTCAAAATCTTATCTAAGTCAGTCAGTTTATCATAAAAACCTTCTGTTTTAGAGTCTTTATCATACCTTGAATGTATTTGTGCATATGAAAACCAATTCATCTTTATACCTTGTTCCTCTAATTTTTGTATAGATTTAAGTTCACACTTTTCATTCAAATATTTCACCATATCTAACTGTTTGTTCCTTTTTATATATTATAGGATAAGAAAATGCTTCAATAGTCGATAGCCAGACTGGAATTTTCAAATAACATTGTCTTTTAATCTTCTCCCAGTTTAACCACAGAGACTCCCGTATATAATGTCTTACTTACCTAAGTAATTTTATTCAATAAATTAAAACAGGCCTTTTGCATGGAAAAATATATGCTTTGCTTTATAAATTAAATACTTGCCATCATTTTGAACGACTAGTATCAATCTGAGCTGAGTAGATGTGAGACATGACAACTAAAAAAGTCTCTGCTCTTCACCAATAATAATTTATAATTCTATATTTGCCTCAAATCTGGGAAAACAGAATGAATGCAGGGCTTGTTAACAGAGAACATGATTTAAGAAGATAGTAAGCTACATATACTAAAAGAAAAATGGTCAAAATATTAAAAAAAAAAAGAATGTTAAAGGTCATTTTCTTTCTGCAATTCTATAAAAAAAAAACAGTCCTCTTCTGCAGGTGGCATCTACTTTTATTGATTTTCCTAAGTGGTGCTCTAGAAAAAGAATGATGAAAATAAACCACTTTTCAATCATATGTCTCTGACATCATCTCTTGGATTGTAGTTTTTATCCTGGTAGAGCAAGTAATGTAACGTATTACTTATTTTCTTTATTATTATTATTTTTTTAAATTTAAAGTACAGGCTACCTGACTAAATGACTCAGGGTGATTTGCAGTCTTTTAAAAAACCTATAACACAAAGAATACAAATGACCAGAAGAGCAAAAATACCATAACAAAAGCAAAGCAGACCACACCACACGGAAACAAAGCAAATCATTGGAACCACCCTGTTCTCAAGGTTTGGGAGAACACTGGTTGTTTTCTAAAGTTTCTAAAGAAAAACTTTAGAAACAATAAAAAATAGACTCATACATTTTTTTTCTCACTTCGATTAAGTCATTACTGCTTGTTATGGCAGAAGCCGTGCTGCTTTTGCTTTTTTCTCATGCTGAATTGAATGATTTCTTGAAAACTCACCAAATTTAATAATGTTTTTACCATAAGGGTAACTCTGGTTGACTTACAGTTACATAAAAAACATAAAAAGTTAAAAACAATCATTAAAACAAAAAACACATAGGGATGGTGGGGGCAGAGTGCGGGGGGGGGGAGGTGGGATCTGTTATTACTCAATCAACCACCTCCATTGCATTGATCCCCCATTGGAGCCCCAAGCCAACTGGCACAGCCATGTCTTCAAACCTTTACAAAAAGATAGAAGGGTTGGGAACAACCTCACATCAGGGCAAAATGTTCTAGAGGATAGGAACAGCAGCAGTATTTTTGCCCCAAACATTAAAAATTTATATAAATAACATATATGCCCATTTATCCTAATATATAATTACATCTGCCCTCTATGGTGCCACTATGGTGACACTGATGTACACTGATCCTTTGTTAAGGTCTTGGGATTTAAGAGCCAACCAGCAGTGAAGCTGATGCAATATAGGATGATGCAATAAGAATGAATCAGCATAGCATGGGTATTTCCCTTTAAGACTAGGGATGGGTTCTACCCCTTTAAGAGGTGTTTATATAAAGGCAGCCATTAGAGGGTATGTCCTCTCTCTTTGTATCCAGTATTCATTACAGATTTCTCCGTGTAGAGTTAAGAAGAAGAAAGATTGCTTGTAAGGTATTTTACCTACCACGTAGATGCCTATATATAACTGTTCTTTATAAACCACTGTTAAATGTCTAAGTCTCTGGGTGCTGTGTTTTGCTCCTGGGTTGTCTCATAATGGTAGTCATGCTGCAAATGCTCTGACAGGTTATGGGTCCAGTATAAAGAGGGGATCAGAATGACTGGAGAGCCTAGAGAGAGAAAAACCCAGTAGGAGCTTGCACCAGAGTAAGTGGTTTAATCGTGCTTTGTGGCTTGTGAAAGAAACCATGCAGCATGGCCTACATCAGCGTAATGGGAGGAGGTTTATTGGTGTTTCGGCTGAATGAGTCAAACTATCTCTCCTGGAATGTGAAGATGGAGATGTATCTGCGGAAGGAGGAGTTGTGGACGATTGTTACCAATCCACCAGCAGTCCTGGATGATGGGGACCAGAGGAAAAATGAAAAGGCATTAGCCAGCATAATTCTGGCTTTAGAGGACAGTCAGCTGATACACATGAGGGGTCTCCAGTCTGCGAAAGAGTGTTGGGAGGCATTGCACACTGTATGCATGAGAGAAACTGCAGACAGCAAAGTGTTGCTGATTAAGAGACTGTATTAGGCACAGGTGAAACCAGGGGAGAGTATGTCCGCACATCTGCAGAATATGAGAAGGACATTCCTTGAGTTGGAAGAAAGAGGAATGATATTTACTGAGGTGCACAAGGTGGTGCTCAGTTCCTTGGACAGTTCATGGGATATTCTTGTGACCAGTCTAGAGTCTATGCAAGAACAGGATTTAATCATGGTGTATTTAACTGGTCGATTGTTAGAGGAGGAGCAGAAACGTCTGGAGAGGAGACCAGGAAAGGGAGGAGAGAGCGTTCAGCACAGACCAACATCTATAAAGGTCCAGGATGGTGGCAGAGTAGCTGAGACAGTGAACTTTGTGAAGAGATGCTACAGGTGTGCTTCTACTGAGCATTTCTAGAGACTCTGCCCTGAAAGGAGGAACAGAGGAGCAGTGAGACAAGGGTACAGGACTACTCAGTTCATGTGGAGCAGTTCTCCAGCGTCGTTTTCCGTGGCAGCATCAATGACTGAACACACCAGGAATACGTGGTTATTAGACAGTGGGGTGAGCCAGCATATTGCTAACAATCCACAAGCATTTTCTGGTTTGCAAACAGCAAAGCAAATGTGGGTTAGTCGGGCCAATGGACAAAGAGCTGCTGTAAAAGGGAAAGGTAATGTTTATGTACCAGAAATAGGTGAAATCTTTTACAATGTGTTTTATGTACCTGCATTAGAACATAATCTGTTAAGTATATCCAAGTTAGACAGGCAGGGTTATGAAATACTATTTGCAGGGGGACAGTACACCATTAGAAAAAATGGTCAAATACGTAAGAAGGATGGCCTGTATGTTCTGGGAAGTCAGGAAGATAGTTGTGCACGTGTACTTATGAATGTTCCCACACATGACAATTGTGTACATCTCTTAAATAGGAGATTGGGGCATGCAAATTTTGATGTACTGCGGAAAATGCCAGACCTAGCTGAGGGACTGAAGTTAAAGAAATGTCATGTATATTTGGATTGTGCTGTTTGTAAGAAGTCCAAATCCAAGGTGTATCCTGTAAGTAAGAAAAATGCAAGAACAACAGAGTATTACAATAAGTTCATGCTGATTTGTTTGGCCCTATGGCACCCTCTTTAGGAGGAGCTAGGTATGCCTTAGTCATAGTCAATGACTACAGTAGATATGGGTATTGTTATTTGCTGAAA